CCCCATAACGCTGCTTTCTTTTGCCGGTGTATGGTGGACATCGCCGCGTATAGCATTGGCTACGCCTCGAGTGTAGGCTAATGCTCATGTAGCGATGCCGGCTGTTAGCCGTATATCTCTTTTTCGGGCAACTTTATTTTCTATTGATAATCCTTCTTTTCACTTCTCTACTTAACTGCCTGATTGACTAATTGATTGATATTTTGTGTTTTGATTAATTGCATTACATGTTACAGATTAGTCTTAGTTTAATTAACAACATATTTTGTTTAGTTTCAATTATACCTAGTCGACTTTGCTAAATTATCAATTGATAGCTGTTTAAGGTTGCATCAATAGTTGATTGTTAGTGTGTTTTTCCCATATGTTTAGCATGTTCTAGATTAGTTAGGATTTAAAATTCATTAATTCTGTGTTAGGTCAATATTTTAGATGCATAACCATCAGTTTAAATAAGCTAAAGTGATCTTGATTAGTTAATTATATGTTTAAATTAGGTTAATCATCTAAAATAGGTTGAAGTTTGAATATTGTTTGTTGTGCTGTGATTTTTAATCCATCTAAGTTTTTGTGATAGCTGTTTGTAGTTACTAAAATACCAGGGGGGCTAAAAGAAATAAGAAAATCAGAAATCTTGAGTAGTTGAGTAAGAAGCTTCTAGAGAGGGGTTAAAGTACAATAAGACAAAGAAATTAGGTCAGATTTGGGTAAAAAGGGTCAAATTTAAATTTTTAGGGGGCTGTAAATAGAGAAATATATGAAAAGAACAATTGTACCAAATTCTGTTAGAAAGATGCTGAAAAATAGGAAGAATATCTGAAAAGTTGGACAGTTATCCAGTTTTGTTTAAAAAAGATGCTATTTCCCTAATTTTTAGGAGGTTAACAGAATTCTCCTAGGCCCTTTTGTCATTCTCTCATAGAGTACACCCTCATATTCTATATAAGGGACCCCCTTGCATTTTTACCAGGATACACACATAACAATACTGATTTTCATTAGCTCACTCTCCTCTCAATAGCTTTCTGCATTTTTTTTCAGAAGAAAAACACACATGAATTCTGCATTTTTCATAGATAAACACTCACTCAGATAGGTTTAAGAAGTTTTAGTTTTCTTCATCAACTTTGGTCTTCTCAAGATAATTTTAAACTGAGGTCGAGGTTCATTTTGGGATTTTATTGTTGGTTTTCTGTTTACTTGCTACTGCTTTCTGAGTCTGCTGAGCTTAATCTCTATTTTTTAGCCTTTATTTGGCCATTTTCTGACTATTTCTTGCTTATAGGTATGTAAAGTTCCATTTGTAAACTTTTGTTAGAGTATAGAAATGAAAACTTGATATATTGATTCCCTAACCATGTCTACTTCTATATGTTCCTATTGTTTGAATGTGAAATCTGTTTCATCTTTGTTTCTCGATGAGTAGCTCATTACATTTATTTGTTTGAGCTCAATAGTTAAGCTATGATTACTCACTAATTAGACTAGTTGCTACTGATTGCTCACTCACCCTGTTGTAAAATCACTGTTAGTCACGCACTAATGTTAGCTATGAAGTTTCGAATTGAATATGCCTACTGTCGTCGTTTCTTTACACATATGAGGGTGAAGGTTGCATCATGGGTTTCAATTTGAAGTCAAAAGCATGCAAAATTTATGGTTTAATGATTCAAAGCTTATATGTTGTAATATTGTTTAGGCCTAGAAAATAGAAGGTGTTTGGTTCATGAAATGTCTATTAGTACGAGTGAGAATTTGAACTATTTCCTTTTGTTCTTTTCAGTACTGTAGGATTTAGCTTGAAAATTCATGTATTAATGTTTAAGAAAGTCTGTAATTAATTTTATTATTCCTGATATTTGCTAATTATATTAAAAAAAAATCACATTGATTGATTGGGCTCAACAAAGCGCCGGCCCATCCAGTAGAGCCACAAGCCAGCCCCATGTCCTGTCCATGTTATAAAAATGTTACCTTTTTAAAAAGACACGTTAGCTTTAGTAGGCCAGAATCGGTTTGAATCACTTTAAGGCTTTGAACTTGTTATTAAGTCAAAGTAATTACAATCTCTTACTCTCTAGTAATTGTAGCCGCCCCTTATGAATTGCTGGAACTTTGGATACTTGTAGTATACAAGCTTCACCACTTATTAGTTAAGGCTTACTCCATTTTTCACAAATAAATCCTATAACGCTGCCTCCTTATGCCAACTCCAAATCTAGTGAAGTGATCAATTTTTCTTTCTTGTTTTAAATATGCCGTAGTTTGCTTTAGGCGCGCTTTTAATTTACTATCATGATTGTGTAAACGTTCCAGTGACATAATTATGATTCCCAAAATAAATCAAGGTATGCGTTCGCGCAGCTTTGGGCGAAACAGTCTTAATATTAATAAAGTATTATTAATTGTATACACGTATACGTGAGATGATTTTTGGCACACTAAACAAAACAGATTCACGTACACGTGGTTCGTTTCAAGATAATTCCATAGCTCCATAATTAAAAGCGGTAAAAGGTAAGACACACATAGGTTTTAAAAATACGTAATTAAACAATTAATTAAGCCTTGTATGATTAAAAGCGACCGTGCTAAAACCACAAAATCCGGGAGTGCCTCATACCTTCTTCCGGGTTAACAGAATTTCTTACCTAGTCTTTTGTGTCCGCGGACCATAATTCGAAGTCAATTTCCTCAATTTGGGATTTTAAAATAAACCGGTAACTTGGGACACCATAACAAATATTCCAAGTGGTGATTCTAATAAAAATAAATAATCCTATTTCGAATAATGCCACTTTAATTGGAAAAGCTCCCTAATCCTCGGAAAAAGGAGGTGTGCCAATAGTTGTGAACCCACTTAACCGAGAGTTTATCCTTTTTACAACATAGGTTTCATAATAGCTTGCTAATCGCTGCTCTGTTCCATATAGCTCTATCTAGGATATTAAGTCCACCAGCACTAGCAGGATAACATACTTTCTCCCAAGCAAGTAATGCTCTCTTTGTTAATTCCACTCCTCCGGTCGAGAGAAATCTTCTACATGTAGCTTCGATTAGCTTTATCACTTTAGTAGGTAGAACAAAAATCTGTGACTAGTAAATTTGAATAGAGAAAAGAATATTTTTATCAACTGAACCCTTACTGCATATGAAAGGAACTTTGTTGTCCAGTTTGTAATCTTTCCTAGCATTTTTTCAATTAAAGGTTGGCATTGGTTGATTGATAGTCTTTTTTGTACTGAGAAGTACACCCAAATATCTGAATGGTGTCTCCCTTTACTAAACCCAATCATCTCCATTATAGCCCTTTGTGTCTCCTCCCTCACCCCTCCAAAGTAGATAGAGATTTTCTCTTTATTTGCTATCAAACCTGATACATGAGAAAACTCCCGAAAGCATTCATAAAGCATCTGAACAGATATTAAATCACCCTTACAGAATAATAGTAGGTCATCAGCAAAGCCTAATTATATCAAATTCATTTTCAAGTATGTGGGATGATAATTGAAATTTGGTTGTTCACTCAGTCCTTTCAACATTCTGGAAAAGTAGTCCATAGCAAGAACAAAAAGGAAGGGGGATATAGGATCCCCTTGCCTCAATCCTCTTTTAGCTGCAAATGGCTCTGTAGGTCATCCATTGATGCAAATAGAGTATGAAACTGACCTTATGCATTCCATGACCCACTGTATGAACATATTAGGAAAGTTCATATGTATAAGTATTTGTTCAATAAACTTCCATTCCAGTGAATCATATTTTTTTTGCATGTACACTTTTAGCATACATCTTGGAGAGATCCTTTTTCTTTCATATCCTTTTACTAGTTCGTGACTTACGATAATGTTGTCACATCTCATTCTCCCGGGCACGAAAGCTGATTGGCTATAATCTATGAGGTCATCCAACACGCTCTGCAATCTAGTGGTTATGATCTTGGAGATCAATTTATAAAGTACAGAACAACATGAAATGAGACTAAATTCCTTTACTGAAGAATGATTCTTCACTTTAGGAATTAAGGTCACTGAGACAGGTTTCTACATAGTTGAGGTTTCGAAAAAATGCATTACATCAGTATTAACCTCTTTTTCAATGATTGACCGGGCTTTTTGAAAAATAGGGCATTGAAACCATCCCCTCCCGAGGCTTTCATATCATCTATATTCTGAAGTACATGATATATTTTTTCTTGTGTCACTGGCGCAATTAAAGCCAGTTGTTGACTTCTGTTTAGTACATGGACTCTTTTGCATATGTCTGGCTTGATAGCAGGCATTTGTAAGGTAGCGGTCCCAAGTAATTTTTTAATAAAAATCAAGAATTTCCTCTTTAACCTCAACTTCAGTTTACATCCAATCTCCAGCATACTATAGTTCTTTAGCTTCTTGATTTGATTGCGAGCAATCCTATTTTTAATGCTAGCGTAGAAAAAAGTTGTATTTGCATGCATCCCCCAGTTGTAACCATTGTAGCATAGAAAAAAGCAACATTTTAAAACCAATAACAAGGATTTATCTTTGTAAGACAAAAAGAAATATTTATTCACGTTGTGATGAACAACAACAACAACAACAACAAACCTAGTGTAAATCTATAAGTGCGATCTGGGGAGAGTAATATGTACGCAACCTTACTCCTATTTTGAAAAGGTAGTTAGACTATTTTCAATAAATCCTCGGCGTGATAAGACATTTTCTAATTGAATAATTGAGTTAAATTAACATTTTCTTTGCAAATGTGTTGCATAACTTTTTTCTTTTCAAGTATTGTATAACTCAAAATTAAGAATTATATCATATCAAGTGAATTCCACACAGAAGAAAGCCGTTTGGCGGTTTAACTCCACCCATTTTATGCTACCGCTCCTCGTTATCCGTTAGTTGAACAATGTACAGATATTTAAGCTAAATGTACAACCTCTGCATCAGCGAATTAATTTGTTTTCTTGCAAGTATCAATTTCCTTTTTTATTTTTTTATTTTATTTATTTCTGTTCAAAATTTCATTTCCTTTTCTTCTTCTTCTTCTTCTTCTTCTTCTTCTTCTTCTTCTTCTTCATCATCATCAAACTGAAGCCTGATTTCAGCTCCTCTTTCGCGCTCCAAAATACGTACGATCCACAATCGTAGAATCGTATATTTCGTTGTGTATTTGTAATGTATCTTTTCGTGTAGGTTATGGAAGATACAAAACCAAACAAGCAAGCCAACAATGGAGACCTATTTGACGACGCGCCAGAGGAATTTCCCTTCGACGATTGCAACGGAAGCTCTTCCGACAGCGAAACTGGCGGATCGGAAGCTGTCGTAAACCCTAATCCATCCCCGGAAAATGAAGATTTTCCGTCGTCGTCTCTCCGGCGCCGGCGACCTCTTTCTTACAGTGATTCTGATAATGATTCGGCTAATTTTAGACCTTTGGTAAGTTCCGAGAGTTATTTGAATTCTAGAGAGAGAAAGCTAATGTCAATGGAGAAGGATAAAAATGGAAGTTTGAATTATATAGAAAATTCGAACGCAATGCAGCTTGATTTGAGCAGAGGAAGTCAAAAAAGTAGTGTTGATGAAGAAAATAAGGAGATTTCGACGGTTATGAATGCTAATAGTGTAATAATAGGTAATTCGAACGATGATCATTTAATGTTGAAAGAGGATTCTGTAATTACGGATGTGAACAATGACAGAATAGATAATTCGGAGGTAGTTGATTCGCATTTGAGAGGAAGTGATGATTCAAGTTCAAATATTTTGTTTGATTTAGCCAATTTGGTGATAAAAGCTGTTGGCTTTCAAGTTAATATGTTGATAACTTTTGTGAGTTTGATGATAAAGTTGTTTTCATTTCCTGTATGGGTAATTTATAGCTCTTATATGTTTGTGATGGATCCGTTTCAAATAATGAGGCGTGGAAAAAGATATGCGATGCACAAGTTTATGAGGAGTTTTGGATTTGTGTTTGAATGGTTGAAGGAGCAGAGGTCAGTGTGGAAGTTGGGGTTGAAACTTGGATGGGGATGTTTGTGGTCTGTGTATGTATGTGTTGTTTTGGTTGGATTGCTGGTATCGGCTTTTATAATTGGTGGCATCTTGATGAGAATTATGGTGGAAGAGCCGATCAGGATGAACGAGCCTTTGAATTTTGATTATACAGCAAAAAGCCCAGTTGCATATGTGCCTGTAATAAGGAGTCCAGTTGTGACCTGTGGTGTAGGTAGTAAGGATCAAGTGGAGGTTGGGATGGTTGAGGGGGTGCGAGTTATCCCACTTAATCATCAGTTGCAGGTTACTGTTTCATTAACGTTGCCGGAGTCTGACTACAACCGAAATCTGGGCATTTTTCAGGTATATAAGCCAGAGACTTTTGTGGTTGATACTCTATGTAATTTTTCTGCTAGATACAGAACAATGGTGATTGGAACTTCTTCTTGTTAAGTGTTCATCAACATGGGTTCGTTGACCTGATTATCAAGTTGTTGCTTAAGTTTATGCCTAAAAAGTTAGTCCAAATAGCTATGCAAGTTGCCTGGCAGTACATCTATGCCATATTTGTATGTTGTCCTGTGCTTTCTGCGCGGATAGAGTTATGTTATAAATTTAGATGGAGGATAAGTTTCTAGGCGTGGTTTTGCTGCTGCAAAATGATTATAATATCTTCCAGATTAGTTTAATTAATGCACACAAAGAGGGAAGTTTAAGTTCAAATAAGCTTTAGACATCTGTTTTGCCGGCTGTGTATCTGATTTGTGTATGACATGGCTTAGGTTTTTAAGCTAGTGAATATTTCAGTTGATATACATTTCGAAAAAGCTGCATAATAAAAAAGAGAAGGGGGACCACGGGACGGGGGGAAGGGAGATAGTTGTAAGAATGAAATGTTTGTCTCCTAATGATTTGATATTAATTTTTTTTTGGGATAACAGTGGTGTCCAGGCCAGCTTGATTTGACATTAATTTCTTTCTCCTGTCCAGGGTCTATTTACCAAGTTAACATGTCTGCACCTCCCCTTATAGTTTCATTTTGTCCATTTCTTATCTATGGATTGAAGAACTTAGTATTGATTAATTTCATTTTTTTGAAGGCAAATTGCCTATGTTGTAAACTCTATTTGCCTTGGTAATGTAATCTGCTCCCATCGTGGGGTGTTTAACCAAAAAAAAAAAAATCCTGGTAGAACTTCAAGCCTACAACCTATTTTAGGAATACAAAGTTGAGATTTACATTGTTGACCCAATTTCTTGAACTGAATGAATTGCTGGTCTGCTACGCATTTCTACGTGTGATGTTTTACCGGAATGGATTAGTAACTTTTTTGTTTCTTACCTTGAAGGTGAGGGCGGATTTCCTCACTGCTAATGGTAAAGTGCTAGCTAGCTCCAGGCGACCCTGTATGTTGCAATTCAAAAGCAATCCTATACGCCTTTTCTCTACTTTCCTTAAGGCTGCCCCTCTTGTCACCGGATATACATCAGAATCCCAAAAGTTGAAGGTGTACTTAAAGGGTTTCTCTGAAGGTTTCGTTCCAACGGCATGCTTGAGGGTGATCATTGAGCAACGAGCTGAGTTCCAAACTGGAGGTGGAATTCCTGAAATGTATGCTGCCTCTTTAACACTGGAATCTGAACTTCCTTTTCTGAAAAGAATGCTATGGTATTGGAAGACAACATTATTTGTGTGGGTTAGCATGATGTTGTTTACCATGGAATTTCTGTTCGCTCTTCTTTGCTGCAAACCTCTTATCATTCCAAGACTAAGACTGAGGCATGATTCAAACAGTCGTGCGGGTTCACCTAACAACCCACCAACTGAAAGGTAGTCGAAAGCTTATGGTTTGATCTCTTAAAATTATGCTGTCATTTCTTTTTTAATTGTACATAACTGGTAGCCGGTAGGTGTGTTGATTCTTTCCCCGATTGGAACTTATGTCGACACGTACGCATAGTGACTGGTTTTTACTTTTCAAGTAATTCTATGAAAATATACACCTTCTCATGAACTTCATTTTTCTTTGACAAGTATAACATCGTGCTCCTGAAGTTTACAAATATTAGATTAGGTTTTCCATTTCCTAAAGTTTCCTGTAAGCATCTTTTAGAAACATTGGTGATATAGTCATTTCCTATATGGACAGAGTTCGAGGAAATTTAGCATGCTTATGAAACTACGCTGTTACTATGATCATCAAAGTACTTTCTTCTGGTAAAACCTCAAAATGATTCGTGGAGAGCCTCAGTGGAAGAATATATCTAAAGATTTGCTAAACAGTATGGGAAATTCAGAGATCTCATATATGGTAGCAGCCAAATGGGGTCTATCTTCTAAAGAACTTGCATAGAGGACCAGAACAGTAGTATTTTTCATTAAGCTTTATTTTGGGATAATCTTCGGTTGTGAAAGACATAAACTTGGGTCTGACAAGTGGTTAATCAATCATTTTGGGGCAGTAGTAGTTGTCATTTAAACTTTGTTTTGGGCTAATCTTCGGAGGAAGGGAAGAAACTTAGTGACTTCATCAGAGGGCTTAATTGTAAACCTCATGGCATTGTAGAACCAGATACCAGCTGTAGCTCCTGCTATAGGACCCAACATGTATAACCATAGTTTCTCGTAACAATTTGATACAATTGCTGGTCTCAAACTTCTTGCGGGATTCATTGACGCCCCTGAAATAGTCCTGTTTATCACAATAGCCAAATGTCCCCAGTTAGGGAATGAAAGAGCGTTATGATTCCAAAAAGAACAACTAGGAACTATTACTCATACTCATCTGTGAGGGTTGGCATTGTACTCTTATTTTTCCAAAATCATGTTCTTATATAGGTCCATTCCACAGTTTGCAGGTAGCTTTCCACTTAGTTTTTTTATTGATGATAATCTGTAGTATTCCTCCACTTTGAGTTGTTCCTGTTTATTTCCTGAAGCTATTTTAGGAAAACATACTTTTTAAACTCTCGAAGACATTATGGCAATTTCTTTAAGTGAAATGGCTTTGGTTGTCAAACACTTCCAAGAGAATTTGATTTCCAAATGTAATAGCTTTACAAATGCATTCCGAAATGGGTTCAGAGTAAGTGGGAAACGGAAGATATCTGTTTAGCATAGCCGGCAACAATGGAGTTAATTGTGACTACAGCTCCAATGACAAGTCCAGAGAGCTCTCCAACCTGCCCCAGTAAACAGAGAGAAGGATAAAATAAGTGAAATTCTGAAGTCCTAAAAGCTTAACATTTGAAGTAATAATCAAGACACTAAAAAAGCAGTGGTACTAACAGCTCGATTATCCGTTGCAATGCCTGCAACAGCAAACATGAGGTGGAAAGTGATCAAGAATTCTAATCCAAGAGACTGCAAATCTGAGCCAGCTGGAATTGTTCCCAGAAACTGAGGTTGCTCTTCCTTGAACATTAAGTTGACAGTGCTAGTTGCTAGAGTTGCACCCACGACTTGTGATAATATATATGCCGGAACCTGAAAACAGAAGTAAAGTGAAGTGAAACATTTTTTGAGGGTGTTTATCGTTTCTTGCTCATGCCTGTTGTAACTGAGATTAATGAAGAAACTTGTCTCCATGCAATCCTCTTAGATGTAGCAAAAGCAATGGCCAACAGTGTAGATCATAATCATCACATCTAAACCCCACAAAACTGCTATCCCAAGAAGACCCATGTTCTTATTCACCACCATTGCAGCAAAACCAGCAAACATTATTAAGTAGGTGCCTAGAAGCTCTGCCATTAACTGCATCGAAAACGAAAGATTGTTGATCAACCGCCTCCTTATCCTATGTCTATATGCTTGTGATGTTACATGGACTAATAGTTCTCTTGATGACTTTTATATAGTTTAGCTCATTTTTCTTATCAACTTTTAGTGTGAGATTTTATCCGCACACCTACCTAACAGAGTTTCTTTCACAAACGCTAAACCAATTACAATGTGAAGGTACCTGTGCCGAGTACTTATGCCATTGTGCGCAACTCATAGACAAGTAGATGTAAGATAAAATGAGATAACACATCTTCATTTTTCAAGATTTAAAGTCCTTTGGTAGAATGAAAACTAGTTACATGAAGCATCAAAGAATTGGGAGAGTGAATTGATCACCTTTTGAATAAAGCTTATATTTTCAGAGCAGCCTGAGGAAAGTGATGTACATTATCATCTTTGATATCTAAAACTGTTGCATGACTGACTATAATATCTGTTATCTTTGTCATTCCTGAACTCTCAAGTATTAGAAAACTATGATTTAGTGGGTGTGGGAGATCATGAGATGGTGGGATTTGGAAGTTTGGAAACATGAATTGACTAAGATTTTTTCTGCCCTTTTGGAAACACTATCTTTTCATCCTTGCTAACGTAAGTATTACAAAATAAACAAATAGTTTGTGAATGGAAAATTACCAATATGTTTAACTTATCTGTAATAAACAACATTTTTGAAAAAAAAAAGGCCTAAGGGTTTGTAGAAAATAATGCAAAAATCCAAATGTTCAAACATAAATCCAGTACTTTTCTCTCTCAGTGCCAACAATTATATTGTTTGGTAAGTTGTAATGATATAAATCGGTGCCACTAAACTTTTACCAAATTGCTATATATATTCAAAGCTCAAAAGATGTCAAACCATCAAAATCTTACGGATTTGAACTTTGAAGTAGTTGTATAACTTCTTAACTTTTCGACCTCATGGATGATGACTATTGAGTGTTGACCTCAAATTATTCACCGTTCATGTCAATTTTGGTAGTTAATAATTAAACTTTGTATTAGCTATTTTTTTAATACGACTCCCTCTGTGTATCAGAAAAACAAATTTGTAATTGGTAGTAATAGCGAATCAACATGCCATATTGTATGATCTAATTGAAGTTACATCGGACCTTTTTTTGCTTAATATTGACCATGCATTCAATTTTTAAATACGAGATTTATAGATTTAGCAACGTGTTGTTAGCTACTAATCTTAATATAATTAGAATGCTATTGGTCACAGAATTAAAATACTGTCGAGTTCAAACAAAATATAACACTGAAATTGACTTCTTGCCAGTTGCCAGAAACATTCAAATACACAAGCTAGCTGTTAAAGTTGAGGAAATGATTTCATTTAATTAGATTGAATAGAAGAAAATAATCATGTATTTTATATATGATCTCCTTTGTTATTTTCTTATGAATCTCTAGTGAAAAAAAGGCATATAACTAAAAAAATATTTGTAATGGACTATAGAGAAGAACAAGACGTTTATATTTTGCTAATAAGACAACACTAAGCAAGCACTCCAATTGGAACCGAAAACCCCCAACTTTAGTTCATTAGTAGTAGTACCCGCGCGATGCACGGTCAATATTAAAAATGTTAATTAAATTAAATTATGATAGAACTTGTTTGAACAAACTAGATCGTATTGTTTTAATAAATTTCAATTGTCATCTTATTTGTCAATGCGGTATACTCAATAATAAAATCACTATTAAATTAAAGGGACTTAAATATTCATTGAATAACCTTTTTGTTTTATATTTTTCTTTATTCTATTATCCAATATTTAGTATTTTTACATTGTTAATAGAAATTTTTATTATCATATTACTTTGTTTAATATTTTTGTATGCTCGCTTTCTTTTTGTAATATAAGAGAAGATATATATATCTATATATATATATATATTATTAATCTTGAAATATTTTTTATTTTAAATTTTTTTCTGTTGTTGTCAATAATATTATTTAAATTTTAATGAATAAAATCTCTATTAAATTAAAGGGACTTATATAGTCATCGAATAACTTTTTTGCTATGTATTTTTTTATTATATTATCCAATATTTAATATAATTGCATTGTTAATAAAAATTTTTATATTTATTACTTTTGAAATATTTTTTTATTTTAAATTTTATCCTAGTGTTCTCAATAATATTATCTGAATTTTAATGAATAAATTCTCTATTAAATTAAAGAGAGTAGTATAGTCATTGAATAACTTTTTTGCTATGTATTTTTTTTNTTGTATAGTCATTGAATAACTTTTTTGTTCTGTATTTTTCTTTATTATATTATCAAATATTTAGGATTATTGCATTGTTAATAGAAACTTTTATTAGCATATTACTTTGTTTGATATTTTTGTCTACTACTTTTATTTTATAATATAATAGAAGATATATATTTTATTATTCTTGAAATATTTTTTTATTTTAAATTTTATCCTATTGTTCTCAATAATATTATCTAAAATTTAATGAATAAAACCTTTATTAAATTAATGAGACTTATATAGGCATCGAATAACTTTAGTGTTCTGTATTTTTTTATTTTATTTTATTCAATATTTAGTATTATTGCATTGTTAATAGAAACTTTTATTAGTATATTACTTTATTTAAATTTTTATATGCTACTTTCTTTTTATAATATAATAGAGGATATATATTTTTTAATTTTTATTTTATTTTATTATTCTCAATAATATTTTCTGAATAAAATAAAATTTTATTTTTATAAAGAAAAACAAAAATTAGTAAAAAAACAAAGAAATTTTAAATTGGCAGTTTTTTATATTTTGTAATTTTAGTTTTTTATTTTAAAATAATTTAAAAACTCCAACTTGAAACTACTCTCCAATTTGAATGGATAGTTTATTTTTTCAATTTTCGTTTTTATTATAAAATATTATATTTTATTATTTTATAGATATTTAAATTCAAAAACAATAATCAATAACTAATTATTAACTATTTATGCCATATGGCTTTTTTCTAGGCTATCACTTGGCTTAATGTAATAACCCGATCGGTCATTTTGAGTATTATAACTCCGTTCCCCCATTTACTACTCGATTTATGCTTTACAGTTGTTTTATGACTTACCGGGTTAGTTGGTTCGGGTCCGGAAGGATTTCGGAGTAAATTGAGACACTTAATCTCATAATTGAATTCATAAGTTGAAAAGGTTGACCGGATGTTGACTTAAGTTATGCTATGCGATCGCATGAAGGCATCCGAGATCGCGTAGGTTTGGCCAGGTTGTGCTACGCGAACGCGTGGGAAATGACGCGTTCGCATAGAGGAATTGGAGAGGAAGCTGGGCCACGCGTTTGCTCTATGCGATCACGTGTGGTTGTCTGCGATCGCGTAGAGCTGAGTACTCTGTGCTTCGCGATCGCGTGAAGGAATCCGTAATCACATAGGGTTAAATCTGGGCAGTGGAAATTTGTGCTTCGCGATCGTGTGTGGTTGTCCGTAATCGCGTAGAGCAAATGACTAGGCAGAGAGATTAAGTTCTGAAAATTTTCCATTTTTACCGATTTGGAGCTCGGAGAGAGGCAATTTTTGGGAGATTTCAAGAAAAACAACGAGGTAAGTGTTCCTAACTCAATATTGGTTAAATTATCCGAATCCATGGTTGTTCTGATATTTAATTAGTGAGTTAAGTTGAAAAATTTAGAAACCCCTCTTGGTTTAATTTGAGGATTTAAGGGTCGAGTTGATGTCGGAATTTGATAAAATTGGTATGGGTAGACTCGTGGTTAAATGGGCTTTCGGATTTTGTAACTTTTGTCGGGTTCCGATACGTGGGCCCCACAGGCAATGTTTGGATAAAATTTCGTATTTTTATGGAAAAATTATATTTTTATATGGAATTAATTCCTATAATTTTTATTGATTGAATTGAATTATTTCTGGCTAGATTAGAGGTGTTTGGAGGCCAATTCACGAGGCAAAGGCATAGCGGAATAAGAAATTATACGGTTTGAGGTAAGTAACAGTTCTAAATTTGGTCCTGAGTGTATGAAGCCCGCATTATGTGTTATGTGTTTGGTTTTGAGGTGACGCACATTCTAGGTGACGGGCGTGTGGGCATGCACCGTAGGATCTGTGACTTGGTCAATTTCGTGAAACTGTGTAGTTGAAACATCTGTTGATATTCGTACATTTTACTATGTATTAGAGAAATTGATCTATAAATCATGTTTAAATTCTATGTTTAGACTGTTGGGACCCACATAGGTCATGTATTTATGGAATGATCTGCTAAATTGTTGTTCTGCACTAAGTCACAATTTTATTTGCATATTTTAGCTCAGTCTCTCTTATTCATTATTGATGCATCATATCATTCCTGTTGGGCTGCTCATCATGATTTCTGAGAACCCGAGAGACTGGAGAGGTTGATGACTGAGTGAGGCCGAGGGCTTAATTGTGAAGATATTTATGGGATCGGGCTGCACGCCGCAACATGTTTCATTGATTTATGCCATGATTGGCTTGTTATAGCGCTTGGGCTAAAGGAGCCCCTCCGGAGTCTGTACACACCCCCAGTGAGCGCAGGTACCTACTGAGTGCGAGTGTGAGTTCCGAGTACTGAGTGATTGGGAGGAATGAGTGACTGTGAGGAAAGAGTGACTGTGAGGTTAGAGTGAATAGGAGGACTAAGTGACTGTTACTCCGAGAGGATACATTGATTTCATTATTGCTGTATTTTAGCTGTCATATATCACTATTTTGGAAATTTCGGAATGACATTATGTTCTATTTCAGTCAGAGTTGATATGAAATTACTGTGAAATTTTAAATGTTGAACTTGAAAGCATGCCTACCCTTTTATGTTGGAATTATTGTATTTGGACTTAGCCGTGAAGCTCGTCACTACTTTCAATTTTTTATTTATTATTGTTACTTGATGAGTTGGTTGTACCCATACTACACCCTGCACTTCATGTGCAGAT